CCCCTGAGTACCACTCGACCCCTGCCCACTCTCCCAGCCCTGTCAATGGCTGCCCTGCCCCAGCATCCCAGCTCTTTAAAAAGCCCCACACTCACCAGCTCCTGCTGGGAGGGCAATCCCTGCTGCCCCATGCTGCATGGGGGGTTTTGCCATGAGCCCCCATCCACCGCCTGCTCTCCCAGCCCCATCAACAGCTGCCCTGCCTGGCCCCAGTGTCCCGGCTCCTTAAAAAAAAAAAAATGCCCCACACTCACTGGCTGCTGCAGTGGCCATCAGGGCTTCTTGTGGAACAGCCTCCCATGCAGTGTGAGGCAATGGGGGGACAGCAGGGTTCAGGAGAAACCTGGCAGGAGTCAATGCATGGAGGGCTTCTTTTTTTTTGCTTTTTTTTTTAAGGAGCCGGGAGCTGGGGCCAGGTGGAGCAGCCATTAACAGGGCTGAGAGAGCAGGCAGGGGATGGGGCCTGTTTGATTTGGAGATTTGGATGATTCAGTGGCAGCCAAATCTCCAAATCAGATTTTGCCAAATCAATTCCGGACAGTGATTCGAATCACCGAATCAAATCACTGTCCCCTGAATCAGTCGAATCTGAACCCAAAGCGAATACTAGCTGCTTCGCACAGGCCTATTATGGAGGACAGTTATTTTTTTATATAAATCAGACACAAGTTTGGGTAAAGAAAAGATGTGTCAATAGGATTAGAAATCTGAGCTGTTTAATAAAAGTTTATCTGTGAGATATACATGGTGTAAGTGATAAGGGCATTGTTTGATAAGTTTTCTGGGACCAGCATCACCAGTGTGAGTGGCTGGTAGTCTAATGGTTCAAGTGGCTGGTTTGTGGACTGGGGTAGCAAGCAGAGGCACTGAAAAAATCACGGGAGTCTTTAAGTTTGCTTTGTCAACTTTAAGGTTACACCCTAGCTAGAGGATACAGTGCTTTTTTAAGAACTTGTATAGGAGGTACACCACAGATTAAACACAGAGTCAAAAAGCTTGAGGCTGAATTGATTCAGCCTTTGCAGGTTAGTCTAAACTGCAGGGATTGAACTGATAAACAAATGAACACACATTCACTTTTGATTCAGGAAATGCAGCCACATGTCTGCAGTGGCTCAAGTCAGAAGCCAGGGGTGCTAGAGCACATCTGCCAGCTACAGCCAAAGGGGAAGGAAGAGAGGAAACCCTGCTGGAGCAGAGGGGGCAGGGCCAGGCACCAGCACATGGTCTGACTTGGCAGGGAAGGTAGTACCACTGAATTCATAAAAGCTTGAACAAGAATAGCTCTTTCTCTGAAAAACTATAAACTGAAAAGCTATAAACGTGGCCTGGTCTGCCTGTTCGCTTACTCTTCCTGCTGCCCCACAGGTATCTGGGATTTGCAGTCCACAATCAGAGCAGCAGGACTCTTAGTGTTGCTTGTCACTTCCTCTTCCTGCTTCCAGGTCCCTCTGGGATTTGCAGTCACAGCTGCAGCCAGCACTAAGTTTTTAGGAGGGCAGGGCCAGTCTGTACTCAGGGGAAGGTGAGTTGAACCCCCCTTCTTGGCCCTAGACCCAAACTGAGGTTTGCCTTGGTGTGTGGGAGGCGGGGAAGCAGTGAGCCAGCCCTCACTGCTCCAGATAGGGAGCAGAGGGGCAAGGCCAGCCATGCTTTCTGGAGCAGACAGCACAGCCTAGCCCAGGGCTGCAAAGCATGCTGGGATGTTGGGGGACTGTGATTTAACTTGAACCAGGAAGGGGTCTGGGACAGAAGTTTCATAAACTGATTTGACCTAAATTACTTAAGTCTGATACTACATTCAACCAGGTTTATCTTAAACCAGTTTCAGCCATTTTGAAACTGGCTTATGTGCACTGAACTCCTGTTGTTACAGGTTTAAACTAGTTTCTGATCACTTAAACTGGTTTATGTGTAACTTCTGTCCCTAGCTATAGTGCTCAGACTTTTTAGCATTACACCGGGGTTGTGAAACTTCCAAGTGTCTGGGGAAGTCAAGCACTGCAAGCCGTATGCCACACAGGCTGCACCAGGGCAAGCCACAGGCTCCCTGTGGTGCTCTGTGTGCATGCACAGCCATCTCAGCCCCTGCTGGCCATCTGCCGCCTCCTTTCTCCTCTCTCCCCCGTCTTTCCTCTCCCTGCTGCAGCCCATACCTTTGCAGCCCCCAGATTTACCTCCCTGACTGCTCTGCACACCATACTGTCATGCCATCTGGGAAGGGGCAGGAAGGAGGGAGAGAAGCCCACAGACTCTGGGTGCTGTTGCAGCTGGAGTGATAGGGGAAGTAACTTAACCTCTCACAATCTGCATGTGGCCTATGAACTGCAAGTTGGACAGCATTACTTTAAAGAGAACTAAATTTCCTAACATGGGCATAGCCAACTTGAAGAGCATTTGGTTTAGGATGGTTGATAGTATGCTAACACTGGCTTTATTTAAAAAAAGTAATAAAAAAATAGATAAACTTTTCCACATGTCTTTGGAGATACAATATCTACACAATCCTACTAAAAACAACATTAAAAAGTGCTACATTTGAAATGCAAAATACTTCTAGTAAAAACATCTTTTCATGTATTTTCAGCAGCTCTGTAAGAGAACTCAGAGCTATCTAGATCTCAGTTGTTGATCTTTCCATTTCAAAATATACTACTGCTGCAGCTATTGCAAAAGCTTTGACTAACAAAGAAAAGACTAATTCTGTTTATGCTAACAAAATGCAACTTTCCAACTTCAATAGTTCATTTGAGAGATTGTCATTTATAATGTAGCATGACCCCAGTATCCATTCAGAAGTGAGAACAGATAGATAGATAGATAGATAGATAGTGACCTATCTATCTATCTATCGGTCTGTCTATAGGTCTATATATAGATAGATAAGATAGATATATGTATATTTTTGTTCTGTATGGAGATACTGAGACAGAGAGATATAAGTGACTTGCCACCCAGAAACCACAGACCTCAGATTCAAATTTTGGTCTGGGTCTAGGTAAGTGATTAAAGTATTCAAGTTCTGTCCTTTGGTCTTCTCACAGGCTTAAAAGGAGGGAAAAGTGATGAAGAATTTAGAACAGGTATTTGGATTGCATTTTCATATGGAAAGCCCAAAGGTATTTCATGTTCATGGAAAATACGTTATATATATATGGCCAGAACTTGAATACTTTAATCACTTATCTAGACCCAGACCAAAATTTGAATACTGAATTGCTTGTCTTTTGAGGGACTAGTTTTCAGTGTTTAGTTCAAAGCTTATCCCTGTGTTTTCATTCCAGGCCTTATCCAAAATTCAAATTTTGTAAGATCTTGCAAATTTTATGAATTATCTGTCATTCAATATAGAAGTAGCATGGTCCAATGAATCAATCCAAGGTCTGTGGTTTCTGGGAGGCAAGCCACTTATACCTCTCTGTCTCAACACCCCCATACCAAACAGGAAAGTAATACTTACCTTACTACGGACAAAATCTGTATATGGACCCCATAAGGTTTTAACATAATCTCATATGAATTTAAAACCCAGATTTAGCTTCTGATCAAAAACTTAATCTATATCTTATACCAGATACAATGTTTAAGTATAATTATTTATTTTCCGGTAAATATTTTACACTGTGCTTATACTATACTAAATGTATATTATACACTGCTTGGTCAGCATAAATACATGGTCAGCATAAGTGAGATTGAATTAGAGTCCTTTATCTCCACTTGGAAATGAAATGACATCTTCCATATTGGGAAGACTGGCTTCAAAAGGTATATGTAGAACTCAAAAGATAAACATGCCACGCACCATTTGTTCTGGTTTTCCTCAGAGTTTACTGTAAATAAAGTGTAGATATGGTTTTCCTAGGTAAACTGTTCACCTTAGGGAGTCATAAAAGCCACACTGGCCCAACAGAATCATTGCAAACTGTCTGTTGAGAAGTATGAGCTGTCAAAAGTGTAAGATACACACAGCTCAAATGAATGGTAATAAGTAGAATCCATAAAATAAATAAGACTTGTCTAGGGTATAATTTGCATTGTGGACAATTGAGTTTTACAGTTGTGCTCTGCTGTTTCTAAGGCAGCAGCATGATAAACTGAATCTTGTACCAGCTACATAACTGTGGGAGTCTCAGTTGCTAGCTGAACCAAGCATTTGCCTCTGTAGCACTAAGAGAATTGATGCCTTTAACAGGTTAGAAGTTGAGTCACCAACAAAATCATAAGAAATTGGAAATGAAGTGATATAGATTTCCCTGGTACTGACATGTCTCTGGAGAGCGTCTATGTTTGGGACCTTTCCAGAAACAGGAACAAGGAAGTGCTGTGTATGAATTGCATATACTGTACTGTATTTTGCATGACTGTCTGTGTTTCCTGATGTTTCTTAGTGCAGGGGTTTCTGCTTAGTGCCTTCCTGATGTTTCTTAGTGTAGCAGTTTCACCAGGCCTTTTGTCAGGAACATGAACCCTTATTATAACATCGTCTCTATGGGAAAATCAGATTCAACTTACATCCTTTTGACTTACAGCGCTTTTTCCAGGAATGTAACCCGCTGTAAGTGCGAGGACTGCCTGTACTTTATCAAGGAACAGAATTTTATATGCTGAGGTCCAAGCAGATACGTGGTAGGAGATGTGTCCAGAACATATTGGTGTTCCTCTGTTTTTAAAGAAAATCTTCACACTCCTGAATGGATAGTGATCTACCTATCTCTGGACCATAAGGCAATCTAAAATTCACATATGCAGTGCTAGAAGATTGAGAGTTAATACACAAGTAACAGAAGAAGAAATTGTCACCTCTGTTCAACCAGTTTGTCCTAAGAAAATATTCTGACAACAAACAACCACAAGTTCAAGTATTTCTCTGACTAAATTTGAAGAGATTTTTCAAATGAGAACTATGAAAAGCTGTGCAACTTTAGGTCGCCAACATAATCTATGCTGTTTCAGTGACTGTATCAACAATGAGACTAATGCAGTGATAAAGTACTTACAGATGTGAAAGGGACACAAGGTCATTGAAGGAACCTTCTGGAACGCTGGAAATGTCGTTACCATGAAGAGTTCTAGAACAGGTAAAAAGCAAGATGTCAGAACCACGCAGTGCCACCGGTGCCGCTTCTGCCACTTCGAAGAGAGTGAGCTTTGGAATGAAAACTGAGCTGCCCCTTCTCCAGAGACCCCACTAGTGAAATCACCCACGAGAGCCCATGCTTTCTTATGCCCTATTCCATGTGATACTGATATAAAGAACTCTACCAATCATTAAAGCTGTTAAAATTAGTTTGTTATTTGAAAGGCATTCTTGCTCATTATTTCCTTTAAAAAGCATTGCTTCAAAATCCCCGCAACTGCAGATCTTCGTTCCTGCACATAATTCTGGCTGAAAACACAAAGGAAGGATGGGAGCAAAAAGCAAGAATTGTGAAAGATGAAATTAAATATTGACTTTAATGGAACTCCAGGAGGGAGTTAAGGACCCGCGTGGGCAGATATATTAGCAATTTCAGGTCCCAAGTTCCCACACCAGCAATAGAAAATACCAATCTGTACAGATGGACACATTTACACTTCTAGGGAAAAAAAACTTGGAACTCAGCTGCTTGAAGTACTCGTCTGCGATAAACAACGAAGCTAGCATATTTTGAGTTTGAACTGGGTTTAAACATAACCTTTCCCAGAGGCTTTTCAGTTATTGCCCAGACCATTTGAACAGGCATTTTATCAGCCACTCTAAGAACTATATCATTTTAAAATATATGTACAGATGGGAGCATTTTCTGATTTTCTGATGAATGTGCTATTTGAATCCTTCAGGATAAACAGCATTACAATGAAAGTGTCATTACTTACTATTACAGGTATATGTAGTTCATATTGAGATATTAATCAAAGATCCCAGTCTGGTTGGACATTATGTGTTAAGTTCTATACAAAACAAACCAAAAAAACCAAAAAGAGTACAAGCCACCTCCTAAACAAGGGAGCTTATAATTTAATTGGAAAAGGAGACCCAAATGAGCACGGCAAGTAAAAGTAAATGAAGGTGCGAGTAGAAAAAGCCTCTATCTATGGCACTGCTTCAATGGTTCAATGTCTAAATACTTATTTTAAATGTATAACAGTGACTAGTATATCTGCTGTACCCCCACCTTCATAAATGTTCAGTATTAATGGACTTCTTCCTTGAGGACCAAAAAAGGCTTTAAATACCTTTCACATTAAAAAAGTCTGCTATAATCTTCTGTAATGGTGTGCAGAACAGAAAGTTAGTATGTGCGTATTTTATAATCATGCTTCTACAGGACTTACTTCTTTTCTAATTTGTCCTGATATTTATGGTATACAGTGACTGCTTCCTCTTTCTCACCGTGCTGGTTTATAGATGTTAGCTATGTTGCATATAAAATTCACTTAAAAGAGCTATCTGGGCCCCTAAGGAGAAAACAGTATCCCTAAATGAAAACAAACTGTCTCTTTTTACATCCTGCCCTTCCCATAGTAGCGCTGGTGAAAAAACAACCATAGCCTGCAGCGCACCTTTAAAAAATGTTTGCTTATCATCCAGACATTCACAATGATGCTATTCCAGGGCAATTCCTATCTTGTTGCCTTGCAAAGATTTGCAACAGAAGATTCATCAATAGCACACAGAGAGGCATACAGTCCTTCCACCTTCACTCTTTGCTGCTTCAGGATCTTATAAATGAATAGCCCTGTGTTTCTACTGCTTTGATGCTGAAACATCACTGGAAGAGTGTTAAGAGTTTGGCTCACTAAGAATCACTTTTGGCATGAATAAGCAGGGACAGACCTTTAATATTTACCTTGCCTGGAGGGATGAGCACACCAGTGCTGGGAACACATTAAAAATATTACAGATGAGCAGCTCATTACCTTTCAGTCCTTATATAAGAAGTAGTTTTATTGGTGCGGAGACTGCAAGATGAGGCCTCCTTATAGCTTTAAGTACTCAAAACACAGAAGAGAATTAATTACCATATTTAAATAAGAATGGCCTCCTTATGATGTTACATTCTGATCTCTGCCATTATTGTTAGGCACCTATGAGAGGTTTCCATCTCATTTGCCGACAACACTGCGGTTCAAATAGAACCTTTAGAATGATTTCTGGTGACATCTTAGTTCTCCTTATTTTGTAAAAATTTGCATTTTGCTTCACTTCTGTGCAATATCATCGATCCCCTTTAGTAAGCTACAGGTAAGCTAGCAAATGACAGATCCATTTAGTTAGGAAAAAGTAAAAAATTAACATTTTAAGATCTGGATTGCCAATGGGATGCTGTAAGTGTGCATTGGAAAGGCTGATGTATGTGTCATGGATACCAGAAAGCACATCTTATTAGAAAAATTATGTCAACATTATTAACACCTGGGTAACTAAACTGACAAAAAAAAGTATTAAAGACAGGGGAACCACAATAGAGAGCTCCATACTTTTCTGGAAAATATGTATTAAAGACTGGCACATTCTATATGATGATGGTTATGTTCTGCATCTGAACAGATTGCACAGTATGGAAAACCATCCTTAATTAATAAAACTGAAAATCCAAATTTCTTTTTTTTCCCTACATATGTGCGTTTACTAACTTTTTACAGGGTCCTTGAATAAGCAAAAGACGACAAAACACGTGTTTTTGTTTATTGTTCATTCCAGGTTCTCACGCACACGTCTGTTGTTTTATTTAGTTAGGTGGCAATCCCCGCAGGGGAATGTTAAGTCAGTAAACAATAAACTATTTTTCAGTGCATGGAAATGTTTCTTTTGGCCTTAACTGAAAATTTGGTTGAGCCTCTAATGACCATAGGGCCCCAGTTTTATAAAGACCAACAGACAAGTTTAACAGTAAAGACATGAACAGTCCCATAAACCTCAGCTGAACCCTTCATATACTTAAAGAAGAGCACATGCATATGCACTTGCAGTACTGGGGCCTGAGGAGGAAGGACAAAGGAAGCAGGAGGGACAGAAGCAGAACCAGAGGCTCCTGTAATTAGATTGTCCATTCACGGTTATTCTGCTTTTCAGATGCATGTTTTCTGTTTATTGACAGAGCAAAGATAAGGAAAGCAGGAGGAATTGGGAAGACACTGGGTGCATGCATGAAAGAGGTCCGTTATCTTTAAAAGTAAGCATGGTTCAAGATGAGGAGATATGTATGTACTTTTTATTAAAAAAAAAAAAAAAAAATTGAAAATGTGGAAATTGTTTTGCTGATGTTTTCTCTTTTAAATTCTCCTCAGAACATGGATAATAAATAAGTGACAATAACAGATTGCACACTGTCACTCGGAAGCACTTTTTCCCCTCTGGAGAATTGATTTTTAATAACAACGTAGATGACATGTGGCAAGAGTTGTAGCTGACACCAGAGTTTTGTAGGCCATAATAAATCAAATCAATCTGGAGGTTTCCAAAAGTACAGAGCACAGACAGAGTCCCATTTGAGCTTCATTTCACTGGTGTTGTTCTGCACAGGACTGAGAGGGCTCAGTGTTATCTCCCTTGAAGCAGGAGGCTCTTCTAAGACTTGATTAAGCAGGTCTTCTGAGAAAGTCAAGAGCTAGCATCTGAGACTCTAAAATCTATCCTTTGTTTGTGTCACAGTCCAGGATAGCCTGCAGGAGCTAATACAGAATTTAACTCAGCTACTAAACTCCCTGGTGTCATCAACAACTGAGAATAGAAACATGGCTAGGAGTACATTCCCAATGGTCAGAAAGGGCTTCCAGCAGTTATGAATCCAAGCACTCACCCTCAGCCACCTGAGCTTTTCACAACTTGCTGTGTAATAATATTTACCTCTTCTACAGCAATTCTGCAGCACAGTACTCTGAGCACATTGCAGATACTCAGGGCCAAGAACCCACATTTCTAAATGAAGTCAATGAGATCTGCAGGTGCTCAGTACCTCTGAGAACCAGGCCTCACTTAATTAAGCCTCAGTATACCAGTGATATGGCTATGCATTAATCCCATTTTACAGATGAGGAAGCTGAGGTACACTGATTAAATTTGCTCAAGGTCGCATAGGAAATCTGTGACATGGCTTAGAAACTGATACCCAGAAATGTGCCTTAACATCAATCACCCCTGCTTCTTTTAATCCCCAAGTGAACCCACAAACACTGTCTGAAACTCTTACAACAACCAACTTTCAACCATTAATCTTTTTCCTTTTCCCATTTTAGCTTTAATATTTGACGCCAAAAATGCAAGAATAACCATAAACCACAAGGGTTGGTGACCTTTTGTCAACAGTGGCCACAGTTTACAACCCAGCCCCCAGCATGGGCCACAAGTCTCTTCCCCTCCCCTCACTTTGGAGCAGCCAACTGCCTGCACTTACCCTCACTGCTCATCCCTTCTGCGGTGAGAGTAAGCACAGACATAGCAGAGCAGCATGGTCTATAACAAAAAGGAGTGCTGTGGCGGGGATGGCTCAAAGGAGCTCTGTAAAACCAATCCCTTGTGCTAGAGTGGACCTTCACAGACCAGATCTGGCCCTGGGCATAGGTTTCTGGCCCCCAATATACAACACTAATCTATAAGGGCACAGCACCAAAGTAAAGAAGAGACTATAATTTCTTCACTTCATCCCCTGTATGCTGCAATATGCAAAAAAACACCAGGTAAATATACCAGAAGCTTGCATACAAGTAACTGGGAGCAGAAGACAGCAACTGGATTGCCTGAGGGATAAACAACAGAAGATGGAGCTTTTCAGTGCCAGGCTACTGGTCTAGATGGCCCAGCTAAATGGGTACCAGTGTGGACTAGTTAGTTTGCTTTAAATTCACACACTAACTTATTTGCAATCACTTCCTTGTTTATGTAGAGCCTCTGCTGAAAAGAATAAAAATAAAGCTACATATCTTTACTGCTCTCAAATTAAGCTTGAATGTCACATTGCTCCCTATGCATGAGAACTTATCAAAAAGGGGAAAAAAATACTGTCCTGGAAAGGCCTGTAACCTTATCACTCATTATCAATAGAAAAGTTTTGCTGATTGTTCCTGGGCTTCTCATTTGCATCCATACAACAAAGAAAGTAAGAAAAAAAAAAGAAAACTCTGTTTCCTTTCTATACACTATGCTGGTCACTTTGCATGGACTCCCAAAAATTTTTCCAAACATTATACTCAAGCATTGAAAGCTGCTACAAAGTTATATTAGTATTTTTGTAGTGTTACTTTTCCACAGAAGTAGTGGCTTTGCTTGACACAAATAAGCTAGCTATACAATGACAGATAGAAAAGTAAGTGGTCGGTGTGGCTGCAAATGGGCAGTCATATGTGTTCACTATGAAACAGTTTGAGGACTTCTATTTTATAATGCCTAATTCATGATTATATATGGCTAGTAAGTAATTTACAATAATAAAAGAGGGGATAAATACAGGCTTATAGGTGATGATAGTAAATCTCAGGTGCAGGACATCCTTTTAAATGAGGTAAGGTCATAAGAATATACTCTAAACAGAAAAAAAAATGTTTTCATTGCACGTGAGAGCAAGGAAGCAGAGTAATAAAGTTCAGGTGACAAGCATTAAACTGGGGCAAGAGGAAGAGAGGTATGAATTGCTTGGCACAATAAAATTGCAACAAACATTGTAATGTTATTATCACATGGTGGATCCTCACTTCTGTCTGATCTTAACAGACCTGGAAGGTTTTCTTGTTTGTCACAGTAATTCATGGAGGTCAGAGGTAATGAATTGTGCAACAATAAATGAAGGACACAACCAGATGCTGTTGCCATTCTTTTCCTGATATTTGAATTTTCCTGCTGTTTCTTGTTTTCTACTGAGTACTGGGTAAACAAAATGTCTTATGCGACAGAGCTATGGGAATTAAATTTAAAAAAAAGCTCACCTGCCTTCAGATTTCAGTCAGCCTAAAGTCACTATAGAGCCAATGGTTTCAATCCTACACTAGCCACAGTAGGTACAAGATGGCACCATAGTATGCATCATGTCCCAATGCGCTATAACATGACACACAGAGGCATTTTTGCAACTAACAGTTGCAGTCTGGAGTTAGACAGTTACCTGTAAATCTGCATTATCACACAGCTGGCCAGCTTAACCATTACAGTGAAAAGAGCCACCTTCCTGGAGTCAACATTCCTGAGCATGACAGAACAGTCACGTCTTGTATTTCTCACAGCTGGCAGCACTACAACCCTGATTAATGAGCCTGACTAGTATCATTCCCCTACCACCCTTCCCTTTTTTTCCCCTTTAGTTTGTTTTGGATTATACTGGTTTCTGGGGACTTTACTTTTTCATGCTTTCATAGAATTCTGTGGGGTTGAAAATGTATATGGCTCGACAGAAGTTCAAGCTGTACTAAAATACTCATTCCTTATCAGATCAATATTCTATCTTTAGCTTTCTGAAGCATCCAATATAAAAATATATACAAATGATATAAATCAATTAATTCTGTAAGACCTATAGGAATAAATGGAAAGAAATGTATTCCTCCATTTAGTGGAGGCAGCTACCACTTTGTCTTCGGATAGAATCTGCTATTGAAAAAGCATGCTATACGCCATCTCACAGAGAGCCTTCTCTTGTTCATTCATATCCCCATAATAGCAAAGAGAGGGCATTCATCCTGGAAGTATATGGTTGCTCTTTGCTTATGGACAAGCTTAGTATTCACCTGCATCAATCAGTACAGGATGCATTGCATTTAAGTACAAGTACATTGAAGCTAATTGTGTGAAAATATTTATGGTGTACTGAATCAAGTAAAAGCAATCTGCTCATTAAAAACCCTGCTGTCATCTACAGCATCCTAATAAGCTGTAACCCAGACACACTGAATAAGTAATACTTACAGCACTCGAAGAGACTTGAGCCCATTAAATGCATGGACTGGAATGCACCGGAGTCTGTTATAGCTCAAGATCCTAAGAGAATCAGATAATGTGGTTGCAACATTATATTTTCTTTGATTATTTTGCTATTAATTCATTTAAAAAGCAGCATGGAAAGCCACCAACTTAAATAACTAGAGAAGCATTAATTGTTTAATGCACCTGATAACGTACCAAACAGAAAATGGAACTGATGCCAAAACTTCTGATTACTTACAGTGTTGATAGCTGAGTCATGTTGCTGAAGGTGTAATTGGCCAACATGCTGATGCTGTTGTTGCTCAAGTCACTAAAGAAATACACACAGCAGATATGTCATTTATACAAATGACTTTAAATACAAGTCATTTAAAAATGTTAAATCAGAGCCCAGAAGCAATTATTTTAAGCAATTTCAAAGCCAGCCATTATTATCAATTACCATCATCTTCCATAATCAATGTTGGAAGACTGCTAAAGCCAGTCACCTTGGACTATTTCCCAAAGATGCTATCTTAAATATTTTCAGGATGCAGAACAATGCCAATGCACAGGAGCAAGAACTGGAAGGGGAAAAAAGATTCCAGGAGAGATGCAGAAGTAGAAAGATAAGGAAAAAACAGCTGCCCACTCAATTTATCTGGCTACCACTTCTATGTATGTGGTGTATGTATATATTTTACACATATGAACAGAGGATCCCTAAACCAGGGATGTATAGATAACTGATTTTTCATTTTGATGGCTGAACTGAAAAAAAAAAAAGATCAGAAAAAAGCTTTTTTGGATTCTTCTCATGGTTTAAAAAAGTAAAACATTTTGTTTTTAAAAAAAAGTCAAATGAAATGTTTAGACTATTTCAAAATATGCCCCCCCTTTCTTTTCCTTTTTTTTTTTTGCTCAAAACAGTGTGTCAAATATCACCAAATAAAAGTATTCACAAGCATTTCAGTTCTGTCATGGGTGTAACAGGGTGAACAGAGTTTTTTTGGATCTGTTTTGAACCTACAAGCACAACTACTCCACTGCTCATAAATTAAAGTAAAAAAGGTTTTGCTTATCTCCTTCATTTTCAGTGCCATGATATCCAAAACAATTGCTTACAGCAGAGGGTCCCAAACCGTGGTCCGTGGACCACAACTGGTCTACAAGCTCCATTTAGGTAGTCCACAGAAAGGTTGCAGAACAACTGAGAATATTTATATTTGGCCCTGCACTTGATTTATTTTTTCTCAGAAAGGAGACGAAGTGGTCTGCCAAGACTCTCAGCAATTTTCACGTGGTCCACAAAAAAAAAGTTTGAGAACCACTGGCTTAAAGGATTCATGTTTTCTGCCATGTTGATAGTCTCTCCAGCTGTAACTCAGTATTGTATGAATAAACCTGCCAATTCCAGCTGAAGCCACATTGTTGCACATTGATGCAACAGTTTTGAGAACAGCCAAAGGAAATGGTTGCCTACATCAGTGGTTTTCAAACTTTTTTGATTGTGCACCCCTATCAGTAAAAATGTTTTGAGCATGCACCCCCAATATATGTATATTAATTTATTTATAAATTATAAATACGTGACACGTGACCATCTGACATACGGACTGAGTGAGGGCGCCAGTGTCAATCCGTATTTTAAATATTAGTAAAGCTTAATTTCTTTCTCTTTTTTTTAGATAAACAATAAATACAAATAGAAGTTCGAATATTTTCTTCCCGCACCCCAATGGATCATCTTGCGCACCCCCTGGGGTGTGTGCACCCACTTTGGAGACCACTGGCCTACATGATAATCTCCAAGAAATGAGTTCAAAAAGCATAAATCTTTACATTTCACTCATGACACATGATGGAGGGAATCATCAAATTTTATTGGCATTAAAACCATGAATTTCTTACATCAGTGTGAGGTGCCTGAAGCTGGACAGTCCCTTTGGTACAGCTGTTAAATGATTTCCTTCCAGGTATCTGAAAAGTGTCACATTTTGATAATTAGGTAAAAATAGTAACAAGAACTTTTGCCCAATGAGGCTGCATCACTTCAACATATAGTGACAGATAACATTTATCAACACTTAAAAAACCCCACCCTGTAAACAGTGCTGGATTTTTTGACTCATCACTGCTTTAAAATCATTCTAAAAGTCTTCTCAAATCTTTTAGATTGGCATACCAAAACTAACATTATACACATTTAAAGCACCAGAGTAACTTGCTGGTGTTGTTTACTCCAGACATTTGAAGTGAATACAGCAAAGACCTCTGACCTACAACAACCATGAAACATCATTTAGGCCTTCATAAAAGATACTTGTAGAAGAAGGGAAAAAATTTTATGTGGTCTGTCCTTGCTATGAGGTTATATTTAATTGACGTTTCTACTAGGAACTCCAAATGTTAATTGACCCCATTAAGACAGTTTCTGTCCTCTGACTGAGAATTTCTTGTACAGGCAGAGTTCAGACAAATGCTAGTTTGATATGTTGCTTTATTTCATATTTGTACATCAGAACCTCATTTACTTCACCAGTACAAATTGAAACACTTGATTGTTTTCACCCCACATCTCATTTAAATTTTTATGGAAGCATCTATTTCAGGATTCTTTTCTTTTTTTTTTCCTTTCTTTTGCAAAATGCAACAGAGGAAGAACTTCAGACCCTATCTAAACATTGCACTTAAGGACTGATTAACCGTTAATTGTGCCTTAAGTGGTCACCCAAGCACATGCTCAATCAATTAACTGTGTGATAAAAAGAGGAATAAATTACAAAGCTAGTCCATAAATGTGGAATAATTAGGTAGCTGCTTTCTATCACACCATTAGTTGAATGTGTGGCCAGGGGCCCCTGTGACTAGAAGCCCCGTCAGCTGATCAAAGCTCCCAAGGAAGGGAGGGAGGAGATGGGGGGAGGCATGTGTATCCCCAAGCCTAGGAGCTTCCAAATGACACTGGATCCCAGCCCCCATGGCTAGTAGCCCCTTGCACTGGCAATAACATTTGATGGGCTCTAATTCACAATCCCACAATCATGCTTCCTGCCATGCATGTGTGGCATGGCAGGAAGCGCAACTGTGTGGATCATGCATCAAATCCTATTGCATCTTTGCCTGCACATCTACAGGGGCCCTCAGAGACACACATCAACATTCAATATCTAACACCTATTTCTATCTTTAAAAAAATTCAGTAAGCTTATTTATTATAATATACAGTATACCGCATTTTAAGGTTAGTTACACTCATGGATCATTTAAACAAGGGGGTTGTTTAATAAACAAAAACACAGGAGTTCAGTCTGTTCACTGCAATTTGCTCTGCACAAGAGTACATATTGATGTACATATTGTATTGTCAAGTACATGACTAGGGCCCTGTTGAATTCACGGTGGAAATGGGCTGTGCTGTGGCTCCTTTTATCTTACAGGTTCCAAATGCGCCCCCCCCCCCGACGGGTGGAGGGACCCCACGTGCGACTTGCTCCTGATCAGTGGGGAGGCAAAACAAAGTTATTTTAAATATGGCACTGTTTTTCCCTTCTGACGCTGATTGGCCAAGGGGTCCCAGTGCCCCCACTGCTGACCAGCAGGGAGGGAAAAACAGTGCCATGTTTAAAACCATGGTTTTTGCTTCTCTTCCAATCAGGATTGAGCTGCAAGCGGGGCCCCTCCACCAAGCAGTGGCTGGGAGTGGGGTGGGGAAGGGGAGGCATATGGGGGAACCTGCAAGATTCAAGGAGCTACAACTTAGCCTACTTGTGCTGTGAATTTGGTAGGGTCCTACACATGACAATATTTTAGCTCAAATGTTGAAATATTTATCTATACTAGAGAACATGCAAAATCTTGAGAAAGTAATATCCCTTAACACTAATTTTGGGATATGATCAGAAACTCTCACATGTCAAGATATGAAGATATTTCAAACTGGCATTATTCAATTACATTTTTGAATCTCTGAACAACAGCTGCATATACATCCCATATATGTTGATACTCTTTTCTGAAATCAGGGCAACTTACTCCTTAACATAGTCATTAGAGTATCTAAAACAACTTCAATATTATAATCTCTTAGGAAAAATTACACATGGCTTCACACTAGTGACACTTCAGTAATCAATTAGCTCAGAGTCTGATAAAAGATATTAAAAATTCTACAATTTTGCCAGGACACCCCTTTTCAATGTCAATGAATTCTCTCCATGGTTAATCATAAGAAGTTGCATGTCAATAACATGCCTAGCCACATCTGTGTGCAAATTCACCTTGCATACATTCAAGAAGTTACATGCATCTCAATATGTCCTTTCTTGTAAAGCCATTTCCCAGCATATTTTTTTACACTGTTAGGGCAAGCTAAGCCTGGTACTGGATAAATACCAGTTGGGGGTGGGGAAAGAGCAAATATGGAAGAATTACAAAAACAGCGGTGATGATTACATCCTTCAAATAGCTAGCAGATAGTAACATTGAGTGGGAAACAGTGCATTCACTTTTAATAGCTGGGCTGAAGCAATCTGAATGGATTGTCTTTCCCTTCTATCAGACCTTTCATATTCGTATTTAAAATCCTGCCTTCCTTACCCCAGTAACCTCCACTGAGATGAATAATGAAGGTTCAGAACCCTTAGAACCAAAATGTGGTTTTGCCTAAAGGCCTTGTTACATCACAATTTTGGGCAGTTCCTGGAGCTTTTAACACCTGCATTCTCTGCACATTAACACCTAAAACTAGTTTTAAGCACTTGTTATGTAGCTCAAAGTTACACTACTGCAAGGCAGGATTATCTCTGATCCACATTACCCAGCTTCTGTTACACTAAACTGCAACCACTCCAATGTACACCTTAGTGTAAACACTCCACCCGCCCCTCCTCCCACACTGCTCAGATCGGGCTCACTGCCCTCCCGCCACCCCTCCCAGCATCTCAGATCCTCCCTCACTGCCTCCCCAACCCCTTCCCTGCCCCCACTTACTTGTGGCTGCCTGTGCTTTGTATCCCAGGGAAGCAGGCAAAGAACGGTTAATCTGCCTGCCCAGCCACAGAGCCCTGTGGCTCCCTGGGCCAGGTCAGCCTAGAAAAAAGCATCTGCCCAGGAGTGAGGCAGGGGCTGGGCAGGAAGGTTAACCCTTCCCCTGCCTGCTCTCCTGAGACAGACAGCACAGGCAGCCACAAGTAAACAAGCCAGGTGGGGGGACCGTGAGGGTTAGGTGGACCTGGAGGAGCCCCAGGAGGCAGGGGGGAAGCCTGGAATTGGGGATGGGTGGTTCTTTCCTTTCAGTCCCCCAAGTCCCTCCTGCTCTGAACGTGTGCCAGCTCTAAACTCAAGCTAGCACTAATGCTGATCAACATTCGAGTGACTCACAATATATGGTGTAACAAAGCCCTAAGTCTTCTTGCTGTAACTCTGAAATGGTCACATTCTAGAACTGAAGACCCTTGTAGAAGTAATGGATCAACTCATTAGCCATTTTTTTGTAAGGAGTATTGTCGTGAAACACAATCACTTTTTAAAAAATCACTAAGCCAGATGATTTTTAAAATAGGAGGCCTTCTGCCCTGAAAGGGGGGCAGGGAAAGGGGTTGCCGCCTTCACATTACTCTCATCTTGCTCCCCAGAAACGTGTGGAGGGTTGTCCAGGGACAGTAGTGAAAAGAAGCAGCTATGACTAGATAGGTTGGGGATGTTATTATTTGGGCTGTCCAGAAATCAGTTAAAATATTACATCTTGATTTTTTTCCAAGAAGCTCTCCTTTTCTCAGTGACGGGGAGCAGCAGTCATAGTATTGAGGCTCCAGTGGAACTGTGGTGCTGAGGTGGAGAGTCCAGTGGCAAGGAAAAGAGATGTGTAGAACCCCATTGACACCGTACATGTTGTCCAATGTGACCGTGGTCAGATTCAGGATTTACTAAAAGGCAGGTTATGGTACACCATCCCTCAGACTAAGAAGAGATGGGAGCAAAGTGTGGCTGAAACCCCCGGGCTGGTGGGGCACACTGCGTAGCTGGTCAGGCAGGAAGGAGGACCCACCCAGCCCTGATGCTGCCACTGTCCTCAGCTGACCGGGTGCAGAGGGAGACCCAAAGCTGTTCCTCCCTCGCTCTAGCTGAGGGCTGCAGGGAGCAGCTGTATGGTTGCTAGGCTCAGCTGGGGACAGGGGCGAAGGCATGCAAGTTCCTCCTTCCTGTTCCTGCTCTCTGCCTGTGTCCCTAACCAATACCCCTTCATTTGACCCCACAAGTTTCTGCCAATTTTCTACATGGCCCAGAAGCCTTTTCTACAAACAAATCCAACTTCCTCAGCCAGAACAGTGGATGGGAGAAAAGTTCTCTACAAAGCAAACTATGCAGATTTCTTCTCTCTAAGGCCCCTTGGCTTGAGTTCCCAAAAGACTGATGTGGGTCACTGCAATCAATATGCCTTTCTTCGAAGGGTTTCCAAATATCATCAGGGAGAACATACTAACAAACTGTGGAATGCTTAGTGTACTGCATGTATGGCTGAAACTATAATGCAATGATCATGTTAGGATCTGCACCACATACATACAATTTCATTTTCTTTGGCAGCAAATGTACTTACTCTGCATTTACTACAGCAAACAACAATAATAATAGGTTACTGACATGTTATAGGGTCTGTCTCCATGCAGACTGCTACATTGCCAAAGATTTTTGTGCAAACTACCCAGTCTAAAACATAGACAGCTAGCTTTTATTTGTTTGCATTATGTAAAAGTAAACATAAGTGAACAGGGTCTTCCATAAAGCTAGAATTATATTTAGAGGAGATAGGGAACAAACCAAACTCCTGCCTGGATTAGGTTAGACAACAGGACCATGATATCTTTGACTGTTTATACGAAGACAAAATCCTTTCCTAAATGGAAAAAACCCCCGGATCTGTCCCTGGTTATAGTAAGCTACTTTCTCAGAGTGGTAATATTTATGCCAGTGGAATG